CTCCGGCAGCATGCCTGCAAGAACCACGAGCCAATCCGATGTTGGTGTCCTAAGGCAGGCGGTCTCAATGGGAGTGCACAACTCCGTCGTAGCATACTTGAGACTGGTCAGGAGGTCCACTAATGGCCGACACTCCTCGAAGTCAGCCGGCTGCAATGGTGCAAGCATGCTGAGCAGACTATGCCTCGGACCTTCGAACATGCCGTCATAGACCTGGGCCGGCTGAAGCTTGGCGATCTCTGCCAGCAAACAAACGACCTGCCATGACGCCACCACATCCGCCACGCTACATGCTACCGGCATAGCAATCCGCTACGATGGCAAACGCTGCCAGCTTGAGATGCCCTGACAACTGCAGAACAGAAGCACAAACACGGCTGAACCCTGCTTGCTACTGCCCCGCGTGCACAACAGTACGTGACAACTACCAGACATGTTGCTGTTTTTCCGACGACACATCAAGCTGCCAGGTCCTTGATGGACTGAGTGATGCCCACGGGGGCGCGCGAAAGGCACTTACTGCAATATTTGGAAACCTCAGTAAAAGGCAGCCCTACCCCCGTCTGCGTGGGGTCCTGATGGAAAGGCTGCTCACGGCACCATGGGACATAACGCTGCTCCTCATTGCGTTCTCTCGACAAATGCACCTTGTCTCGTTGCTGGAACCACTCTAAATCCGCGCAGTCGACGACACCTGGCACACTTGCCGTGCTGGATGCCACCTCAGACTCACTGGACGAGCTAGAACCCTCATTCCCGGGAGCGCGAGCCGGTGATAGCACTGCGACCTCTGCACAAGCAACCCTAGACCGATTGATAGCCTCCCATGTCCATAAATCGGGTTCAAGGAGCTTCCCTTGGCTGGGGTAATCCCCGGCTTTGGCTCTATATATACACCACATTTTAGCAATGAGATCCAGCTTCACCTTGGCACTGCGGGCAACACGCTCACCTGCATAGTGCACGGCCATGGTGATTTTATTGGTCGGCGCCTTGGAGCCCTGGACATTCTCCGTCCACGATCCCACAGCCTGTGCATCTGCAGCTGAACACTGAAACACCATGGCCGCTGTGGGCATGAATCTGCGCAAGCGGTTGTAATGAGCAGTATGCGCTTTGCTCGGATGGAGCCCTGCCCGGGTAAGCAACCCCCTAAAGCACTCCATGAATCTCGAACGGGACATTTGCCGGTTCGTCCGAAACGGGGTCTCCTCAAGGATTTGCCACAGATGCTCAGACGACAATTGAATGGCCGGCCACAAGAAGGTGGCTTTGGGGTGCGCTACTTCCTCATGGAATTGCTGCAAGGTCTCCAACAAACTGAAGGACCCGCGGCACACCTCAGGACAAGCCCACCGGTAGGGGGGCCGACGCCCACCTTGGCGAGATTTGCCCATGCTGCATTCATATTCGAGCCACCCCGCATGCACTGCAATAAGTCTCGATCGCTGCACATGTGCGAATCTGATACAGGACACTGCACTCTGCAACACAAAAGCCACAACAGTTCGACATGGTCCTGTCAGCTCCTCTGCAAGCATGACCAAGTTGAGGAATTCCCATGGTTCGAGCTCCTTCGCCTGTTTGGATGCATGTCCGGAACTCAACAACTTGTACGAGCAAACCAAGAAGTGTTGAAGAGGCCATCCAATACCGAACTTCTTATCTAGCCAAGACAAACTCTGATAAACGGATGCAGCTGCAGTGGGACCGCCCAGAGCTACCTCCCGAAAGAACGCTGCAAGCTCTGCGGGTGCTGGTGCGACCACTGACAGTTGTCTCTCACTGGCAAACCTGATCCACCTGCGAAGGCTCGAGGTGGCTGTAGCAATATATGCTGCGGATGCACTCGATGCCCCTTTCATAATCAGTTGGCAAGATTGCTGGCTATGCTGCTCGGCCGGCGGTATGCCCAGGCTGGATAAATCCAAAACGTGCTTCACAAGTAACGAAAATAACCCTTGAAGCTTGCTGTCTTTCAATTCAGGTACATGAACAGGCAATGAGGTACTGCCTGCCGCCGCCTGTGGCTTAACATCCGCAGCCGACTGACGCCACATGATCTTCAACTTCGCCTGACTACACTTGTCACTGACAGCTGCAGCATAAGGCGCAACCCTGGTCTGCCTTTGCAGGAAGTTGGAGTCACGCACAGCGATGATATCCTGCGCCCTGTCAGCAACCGCCCTGGAGGCTAGGCGACGCGCTCTTGAATAGAAAGCCGCTGCTTCCATAACCAGGTCAGGGGAAGCTTCAGGAATATTATGTAGCTCTGACACGAAGCTGTGCAAATCGGGCCAGATACCCACAACATCCGAAGGCGTCTCCACCCCTTCCGCAGTCAAGAGCTGTAAAATCTCAGGTCGCACCTCCGAACACCAATGACTCAAGCTCATGGCCATGGCTGGAGCAGAAAAGAAAGGAATGTTGCACTGCTCAGCTCGGGCCCCGATGCTGCAGCAGTGTAATGGATGATCACACTTCAAGCTTCAAACAGACTCCTGCCCAACCAACCTACTTGTTTGAATGCAAAGAACCCATCCTAAGCGCTCGCCGCCCCGGTCCCCTGCACCTTCCCGTGCACGCCCGTGCACCGTTATCGCGCTCTGCCCCGGTCCCCTTCACCCGTACACCGTTCCCGGGTCCCCTTCCTGCACCTTCCCGTGCACCCGTGCACCGCTCTGCCCCGGTCCCCTTCACCTGTATACACCGTTTTCGTGCACCGCTATCGCGCTCTGCCCCGGTCCCCTCCCTGCCCCTCCGCGTACACCCCTGCACCACCGTTATCGCTCGCTGCCCCGTT